TACAGAACAAATTTAGAAAGATTTCAAGACCCTGATAAAAAATTATTTAAGATCCCCAAAGTTTACTCATTAGCAGCAGAAAACATTTGTTAGCACTGGTAATTTGGACTGGTTCTTTTTTTACTCCAGTAAGCAGAGAAGTACGCAAAACTACACAATTAAGGGGAATGCATTGAAACGAAAAATAAGAGAAGACAGCAACAGTTGGTGTTGCTCAAGTCAATGACCGCGAACATTCATAAAGGAGATTTGCCAAGGAATATAAACCCATAGTTGGTTGAAACTCTACGAAAGTACATGTGTTCCTAGTGAATTCCAATGCTATGAAATTACTACAAAATCCTTCGTTCAGAGCAAGTCCTTAATTTGGTCAATAAGTGGGCCTTCTTCCCATTATTGGCAGGTCAATAAGCTCACCTATTTATCTACAACCCAAAAAAATACGATAATTAATTGACAAAGAAAGACAGGACTTCTGTAGCTATCAAGGATACTGCCAGTTACTAGTAGCCCATCACTAGAGAGCTATGAGTTACTATCATTACTTAGTAGCTGCAAGAGCTATCACATTTCAATGACATGCAGTAAAAAACAAAAGTCAATGTAATACTAATAAGTGAGAAGGCAAAAGAAAGAAATTGGAGTTCAGTGATCATAACCAAGTTCTACCTTTTCCACAAAGGGGAGATCCAGGTAATCAGGTCCACCAATACTCAAATTCAATACATCCATACCAGTTGCCATCGCATAATTAAATGCATCCAAGAACCATGATGTGTAGGATATCTGCACTGCAAGGAAAAGGTAATTCTCAAAATCTTACCAGCACAAATTTTGGCATAATTAGTTGTATTTGCTTCAAATAAATAGTAAAAATTGCTCGCAGAATTTTCACAGATACTAGTAACATAGCATCTCAAGGTCTGGTGATTCTAAATTGTATTTTACATTTATAAAATGGAGACATGCTGAGAGCATTAAAACACTGTAAGACTCATGGTTTGTCTTTCCAAAAAGTTACAGTTCGGTTTCCTTAGTTTTGAGGACATTTGCAAATGCAAATACAAAGAAGATGGAAAGTACTCCCTCCGTTCGGAATTACTTGTCGTAGAAATGGATGTATCTAGATGTATTTTAGTTCTAGATACATCCATTTCCGAGACAAGTAATTCCGAACGGAGGGAGTAATTATGATGGTGCAAAAAGCTGGTGGATGCGCTTCATATATAGCAACCAAGTCCAGTACCTGAGCATCTGTGAACACTCGAAATGCATATATCTCAGTGTTTGGTGCAAATCCAGGACATTCTGGATCTTGACCAGCAATCACTCCAGCTACAAATGTTCCATGTCCAAGGTTGTCATTTAATGTGTCTTCATTTGTCCAATTTGTGCGCTCCTGCACAGTTATGCTATCTTAGAAAGACTCCACTTTTTGGGGGGAGTTTTATCTCATATGCAAGAAAATGGTGTAACTTTAATTTGTCCTGCACAGTTAATCAGGATAGCAAGCTCTAATTTCGTTTTCCATGCGAGATAATACAAGCATAGCAGTTTCCCCAAGGCATTGCCACCATAGTTTTGTGACAGGCAGACATGAATTAATGTTGCAATATCTCAGAAGAAGTACTTTAGTCAGGACAACAGTGTTAGGTAATAACAATAATAAGCTACGAAGCACCATACGGCCAGGTCCGGTGTACCCACGTCCAAGACGCGACGGATACGGATGCGATACGCGTATTCCCAGAATGTCGCTTCTTTCGATTAAAAAAGGAAAGAAAAAAACTATACGGACGTGGGACGTGGGATGATGGGAGCGCAGCCCGAGCCCAATAGAAGCCTGGTGCAAACCCTAACAGCAGCTCTCTCCCTCTCTATTCCCACAACCACAGGAGGACCAAGGCAGAAGATTGGATCTTTGCGACCGCACACGCACGCTGCCGCCTGGAATCGCATCGCCACCATGTGGATTCACCTCTCTAACGCCTGGAGTCGCCCATGTCGCCGCCTCAAATCTTCTTTGCCGCCGCCACCCGTCACCGGTAAGGTCCTCCCTAGTGCTCGCGTGCTTGCTGGGAGCTGCTGGGTGCTGGCCGTTGGGTGCTCCGGCGCTGGGCTGCTGGGCTGATGATGTTGCTTGTATGCTGCTGACCTGCTGATGTTGCTGCTAGGGAGTGAAAAGAGGCACAGAGGCGACAAATGGGACAGTATTTTGATCTCATCTCATGCATTCAATTATTTTGTGTCTTTATTACATGACATTTTCTGAACGATCGATATAGTCGTTGTATCGCCGTATGCCAGTTTCTAGAGATTGCTGTATCCTGTGTCACCATATCCGTACCGCCGTATCCATGTCGCCGTGTCGGTGCTTCTTAGTTAATAAGTGCATGTTAAGATATTGTGTGTGTTTTCAAGAGCAGAGACAAACTTCCACAAGCAAAATTGTTTGCCTAACTTCCTCCAGATTCATGTTTTTCTACCTCTTGTGTACATATACTGGACCAAAATCACCGGTGACAAAATTTACTCAATATCATACCTTAATATTGCGAAAATGTGGGTGATCTGCCCGAATACCAGTGTCAAAAATGGCCATTTTGACTTTCCTACCAGTGAAGCCTCTTTCCCATAGTTGTGCAGCTCCAAATAGAGATGTCACATGTGGTCTCTGTCAAAGGACACGTGTTACGGTACTAAAAACATGACAACAAGCAGGCTGCATGAAAATTCACAAAATCCAAGGTGTCTAGATGATACAATCCACTGTTTAGAACATCGCTCTGGCGTTGCAACTTAGTGCCATAGCATCATGCTAGTTGGGAGCCGTTCTAGCTTTAAGCATTAAGCAGAGCATAAACTGCATAGCACGTTCATTTTCAGTTCCAGTTTATATATAAAAGACTAATGTTCTGGAGTCTTTTTACAAAAGAAGAAAACAATAAGGTTAACATTCTGGACCAATTTTAGCAACTATAAAAGTACAAATGAAAATTTTAGTTCTATACAATGGTTTGCACAAGAAGTTGACATTAAGAACATAAATGATGTTGAGAATGGCCTTCAATTCCATTGAATGTGACTGGTCTAATCCTTTTCCGAGCTTGCGATCTTTATGTACCCCGGTCCGGTTGCAAGCTACTACTAATAATTATCAAACAAATTATCATGCGTAGATGTTTCCACCATGAGCAGCGCTGTGCCAAGAGAAATGTACCCGCATTTGAAGCTTCCGCCTCGGACCACCAGAAGAGGAACTAGCATTATTGCTGGGAACCGCGTCGTCGTCGCCGCCGCGTCCCTCCTCCTCGAACGACATGGCGGTGAAGCGCTTGCCCCGCGCCCGATCTGCGGACAGGGCGGCCCGCGAGTGGCTGGTGTCGGGGTGCACGTCCCGGACGCGGGCGAGCGCGCGGAGGGCCTCGGAGACGGCGTCCCGGTGCGCGTCGCGGATCTCGAGCACGGCGAAGTCGGTCGGGTGCGCGGCCGCGGGGTTCCGCCGCTCCACCCACCGCCACGGCCCGGCCTCGCGGGGGAGGCCGTCCTCCAGGTACTCCCGGTGGTCGTCGGCGGGGCGGTACTCGAGGAACCGCACGACGTACCTGCTGCTGGCTAGGGTTTCCTCCCCGCCCCGGGCCGGGGGGTCGGAGGAGGGGAGGAGGGCGCGGAGCGCGAGGAGGAGGAGGAGCGGGAGGAAGGCCGCGTACGCGGCCCTCCTCTTCTCGGCCGCCATCGCGGGCGGCGGCATCGGCGCGATTCGCCGGAGATCGGCGGCCCCCGCGCGGTGGCTCGCCGGAAATGAGCGATGGGTGGGTCGACAGGACAAGCAGAGAGCACGAGGCGCTGCGGGTGTTACGATGACGGGGCGGCACGGATGCCCAGCACACTGACCGGTGGGCGCACGCGCTGCGCTTCAAGTAGCACTCTTTTTTTTTGGAGAAAACGGCTTTTTTCTTGGATTCGGCTGCCTGATCCAGTGACCCTTATCCAGGCCCACTGGAATCGGGGCCCAAGGTTCGAGACGGCCCACGCTCGTTCCCTGGCTTGCCCGTCCGTGAGTGAGTGAGGTGCGTCGGTTGGCTTGCTGGTCGTGGTGGGATTAGTCCCACCTCGCTCGCGGAGGGGGGTGAGAGGGGAGGAGCTGGGTATAAGAGGGGGGCGTGGGCGGACGGGAGAAGGCATCTTTGCGCTTGGGGCAATGACGCAGCTAGTGAGGTTATACCGAGGCGCGTCAATTGCTGGTTGAAAACTATTTCCAAACCCCCTCTTTGGCCCTCATGGGCTACTGAGAATTTCTGGAAGGGCTCCTTCTCTTCGGAGAGGGGAAAGCCCTACAAATCTAATTCAAAATTTAGCATGCTTTTGAGCTGAGCCTATACAACTAATTCAAAATCTGGCATGCTTTTGATCACTTTGTTCTATTTTCCTTCATTTACTCGTGGCATTCAACTTTTCCTCTTGTAACTGTGATCTCTTTGTTTGGTACCTTCAATTTTTTTGCAACAAACTAAGTTATGAATTTAAATAACAAAACCGTTGGACCTTTATAAGGAGTTTTGAAGCCAAACTCTCATGAATTTTCAAACCAATAAATAGTACTCCCAACATAAATTGCAATCATTCTCATCTAACATATCCAACATTTTAGAAAATCTATTCTCATCTAACATATCCAACATTTTAGAAAATCTGCTTGAGCTTCAATATTCATGCAACATCTGATATTAGAGTTCCTGACTTTATTACTTTCATCATTATATAATACATGAACAAGCTAATTCAGACATGTGGTACACCATACATTGCCAACTGACGTGTTAGAACATGTGGTACATCATCATATATGTTTGATTTTAGATGTCTACTGTGTATAACCGTGACCAACCCCTACTCTATTTGCTTCTCTACAAGGCCATGCTCCATGGTCATGCCACAGCAACGCACATACGCTGTCATTTTCCTTCAACGCGCCCAGCATGCTTGAACCAGCAAATCTACTATAGCTCATCCTTGACATTGTCAGCGGCAGCTACTGTTTCGACCTCAGGAGTTTGGAGCTTCTCCTTGATTTCAACGTCCGAAATCTGCAGCTTCTCCTTGATTTCAACGTCCGAAATCTGCAGCTTCTCCTTGATGAATCTCGCCATGTCTTTCAGGCTTAATTTCTTTGAAAGTTTGATCTGCATTTCCAAAAGGAGAGCAACAATATATCACTAAGACATGGCGAAGGGTAACTTATGGCGTGTTTGAATTTTGTTTCAGCAGACGTACCGGGTTGGTCTTGTCTTCAGCAGGATAAAGCAAGAGTGTGGGGTAATTGTTTACCTGTAAGAAACCATGGGGAAACTGTAAGCTAAAGTTATACCTTTGATGGGTCATTACGGGTTTAGTAGATCTATTCATTCAGCAGAATGGCAAAAAATTATGCTTCCAGGGTCCAGCATTCAAATGCAAAGGAACTAGAAACCTTCAGATCTCTTTTCACAAATTTAACTTTTAATAAACATCCTAGTTATCACCCATTCATTTATGACACTCATTAAGCTTTTCTTCCTTATAGCGGTTAGCCTATATGTACAGTCATAAGTGGCAGCAATTCCACCAGAACCTCATCTTCAACATATACGAAGTCATTTTTCTGCTTATTCTTTATTCACAGAGCTATCTTTGAAAGTCCATGCATGGCATCATTTGCAGTGAACAACAAACTCTGTTTTTTTTTTGCGGGAAACAACAAACAAACTCCACATCAATATTTTACATTCGCAGTAAACAACAAACAAACTCACCCTCGTGTATGTCAATATTCATGTGTTATGCACACATTGTTATGGGCTTAGTTATAAATTTCATGGATGTAACTATGCACGGTCCAAAGCTTATAAATTCATAAAAACAGTTATTACTTTTTAGAGCAATCTAATTTAAAGTTTCACAAATTGTCTAAAAAACACTTAGGGTGGTAATTCAACGGACATAATTCCAACAATAGTTAACTAAATCAGCAATCCAACAGATAACGTGAATGTATCAGAAGTAATCTCTTTCATATGATTTTCTTTTCTGAAGGCACTTAGATAGTACTCCCTCCGTTCGGAATTACTCGTCGCAGAAATGGATGTATCTAGACGTATTTTAGTTCTAGATACATCCGTTTCTGAGACAAGTAATTCCGAACGGAGGGAGTAACTAATAGCACATAATCCCAATACTTCAATGAAAACTACTCCCTCTGTATCAAAATATAAAACTTTTTTGTAGACTAGTTTAGCCTACAAAAATGTCTTATATTTTGCTACATAGGTAGTATAATTTAATGGATGGCATAACTGTGGTACAAGGTTGAAAGTATTTGATCTCTATGTTGTGGGCATATGTGATGGTACAGCAAAAGGATTACCTGCAATTTTGGATGTTCATTCACCGAAGCATCAATACGTGCAAATTTAAGATTGTCCAAACCACTGAAATGCTTGGCCAACTTCTCAATGTTTTTACTGATGGCTTCACAGTCAACACACCAAGGTGCATGAGCCTATGGTTTTCAATGTAAAAAAGGGTGTGAGATCTTGGATAGAAATAAAAATAGTTTGAAAAATGACGAATCATGAGTATGGGAGTATACAAAGTTACAGATAAATAACTTGAGTAAGATCAAATACCTCAAGGAGGACATTGTGAGGGCTTTGCAGGACAGAAGAATCAAATGTACGTCCAACAACCTTTTCAACAAGTCCCTTCTGCAAAATGGTGGGTGGGGGTCAAAGGCTAAGTCCAGGAATACTAATTACAAAATCTTCACAGCATTCCCTATATGTTAACAGATCTTATTAAGAGAAAAAAGTATGCATGTCAGGAGCAACAAGTTCATATGTTGCTCACATCTTAACATGAGTTGTATTTGAGTTAGACTGCTAGGGACTTTGAATCCTGACACATTAACTTGCAAGAACCAAAACTTGACAAAATTAAAGCTTACTTCTTGTGGTACTGGTTCTGAGCGGAAGTATGGAGGGAGTGTACCATCCAAAAGGCTTAAGGAGAACTCCTGTTATTCAGTGCATGGTCTAATTAATCAATTTGCCTCAAGTAACATACCATAAAATCAAATAAACAATGCATTACCTTTAGGTTCTTCGCGTTAATATCTGCCTCCAACAGATATTTAGTACCTTTGCTTGTATCAAATGCTGTAACCTGGAAAACTTTATAGTTTTAGCAACAGGCTATATCGTTAAACAATACGGAAACAACTCCCACCATAATGCACACATGTGCACACCTGCATCTACTGGAAAAAGATATATAATATGGAAACATCACTCCAGAATGAAATTCATAATACTATGAACGTACAGTAGGTTTATCTCCTTCAAGGCCATAAAGAGTCAGGAATGGTTTTGCAAGGTTTTCTTCAGCAGTGTCCACATATATAAACATTATCTGCAGTGCCAGAAAGAAACTATTTTAGTCATTTGCATGATATGACAACAATGGACAGGACACAGGGCAGCTATCTATTTATATCAAACCTGCACACCTTTGTCTTAAATCCTCTGGCCACCTCTTGAACAATAGATTCAAGATCTTCAAAATCATAAGCCTCTGCGAAGGTGAAGACCTAGAACAAATTTGCAGAAACTAAATCAAATTAACCATGTGAAAGACAAAGAGTGCATTTATAATTTCCTACTATCACTTTACAGTTATAAGGCTTATTACATAGTTTAATCCACTAGGGAGGAATGTGGTGTGTATCCAAAGTGCACTTGTGTTAATATTTAAGAAAGGCTTGGAGTACTAACCTGCAACTTAATTGGGCTTGAATAGACTTTAGCTGAGTTTAAATCAGTGAATGCAGTAATTAGTGGGAACTTGTTAAGCTCCACAAACTGCAATATCTCCTTTTCTTCAAATGCTCCATCTGTAAAATGGCATTACATGAGTTACTGGACAAATCATAAATTTATGACTGTTACACTTACAATAACTATATTGTACACCAAATGGATAAGCATGAGCAACTGGCTGAAGCTTAACCCAACATTATCTTTCTTTTTGGTAGCAACTTTTAATAATGACTAAGGATTCCAATTCATAAGTTACTCATCAAATCATGGCATGCAAAGCCAGAACGCAAATAAGGAAAAAATGGAACATGTGCATATTAGATACTTACCAAACTTTTCAAACTTCTCTGGTTCGCTTTTCACAAGGCCCAGGAATTGTTCTTCAGATGCAATCCCTGGAAAAAGAATCTTGGCCACATTCCTATCATTGGTTTCTACAAATTGCACTTCGTTTTCAGCAGTCGCTGCCTTCACAAATTCTTCGTGGCCGGCTCCCTGTCGAAAATGGATATGAATAAACAATGTTCAACAAAACTGAGAAAATGCATAACGTCATTCTCAAGTTTTTACCCAGAGAGCAAAACATAACCTGCAAATTAAACATCTGCATGAAGCATTTCGCATACCTCGTAATTCTTGAATAAGCCGAGAGCAAATGTCTGGTCCTTCTTAAGAAGTTCCTCAGCTGAATCCTTGGACTCAATCCTAATGACTGGCGTGCCGGTCTTCTTTCTAACCCAAGTAACTATCGCGTCCCTGTCAAGAAGAAAGACAAAAGGCCTATTAGTCAATTCGTCGAGCAGATGAAAGGCAGCTGCCATATCATGGGAAAAAAGAGGAGCAGCCAGCTCTCTCACTTGGTGTGGAGGCCGGTGTAGGCGTGCTCGGTGCCGTTGACGAAGAGGAGCACGGAGGGGAAGCCGTTGACCCCGACGGCGGAGGCGGCCTTGGGGAACCGCTCCCCGTCGAGCTTGGCGAAGGCGACGGCGCTCCCCATGGCGCGCAGCGCCGCGGCGGCCTCGGCGAAGCGCGGCATGAGCTTGGCGCTGCGCTCGCACCAGGGCGCGTAGCCGAGGAGCAGCAGCTCCGGGTGGTCCTGCACGGCGCGGGCCGCGTTGTCGTTGTCGAGCACCAGCACCATGGACTGCGTCCGCCGCACCGCCTCCGCGCCCCCGCCCCCGCCCCCGCCCGCGCCCGGCGCCGCCTCCTCCTCGTCGTCCACGGCCAGCAGCGCCTCCAGCACCTCCGAGTCGTCCAGCTCGTCCAGATCGAGCTTCGCCGCCGCCGCCGCGGACACCGCGAGCAGCGCGGCGAGGAGCGCCGCCGCCGCGAGGAGCCGCGTCGCCCTCATCGCGTCCTCCTCCGAGATCTAGGAGACGAGGGAATCCCGCGCGCACGACGCCGCCACGAGGAGAGGAGAGGGAGATCGAACGCGTGTGAGAAATGGAACGGGCCGCGGCGTGCTATTACTAGTGGTGAGGTGCTAATGGCGACTGGCGAGGGAGCTCGAGTGTTCAAACGGCAATGACGAGCGCACGCCGCTGCGCCGCGGCGGTCACGGGCGGGCCGTGGATGAGGCTGGCGGGTGGGGCCATGCCGACGGCGGGGCCGCCTGGCAGTGGGGGCGGCCGGCGAGCGGGGACGTGTCGGCGAGACGGGACGGGGAGCACATGGGGTTGGGATCGCGACCGCGTGATTGGTGGTTAAGCTAAGCTAAGCCGGTGGAGCTGCATCTGCATGTGATCGGTGAAGGAAGGTCAGCTCCCCTTGGCTTCTCTAACGAGGTCAAAGGCCTTCTTTTTTTTGTCCGGATCAAAAATAATTGGAGGGGGTTTTGCTGGATTCATATACAATATAAATATTTTTTTTGCATTTGCTATCCCGCGGTTAACTTTTATATTTCAATCGATCCGGAGGGAGGGAGAGAGTGGTGTGGCCCCAAGCTCGAGCCGACGAGGGTGAGCCAAGATATCGCCGGAGGAGGGGACGAAAGCGGTCGGCTGGTATGGGTGGGTTGGGTGGAAGGGTCGAGTTTTTACTTCTTGAACCGGGCATAAACCCCTTTTCGTTACAAAGCATAATGAAAATACAATTTGTCCAGATCAAGCAAGATATTGTCGAAAGCGAGAAAGGGGATAAGCGAGTTCAGATTACTATAAGTAAACCCACTATACGTGCTCGCAATTGACACACAGCATGGGATGAGAACCTGATTGCACCACAAAAACTAAACTATTGGAGATAAGATAAACCTCACGGTGTTCGGACTATAGCATAGCCAAAAGACAACATCAAATGTCGAGCACACAAGAGCCTTCAAGCAGAACCACATGCAGCAGGAACAACTTCAATGGCATACGGAGAAGGGAGAACTATTACCCGTGTTTGGCCTCGGTGCCCTCCTGGATCGCTGCACAATTCATCATCATGTGGGTACCATTGCTCCAGAGCAGCGTAGCTCTATATCTCAGCGAGTGAAAGTGCATTCTTTTATAAATGGAATTTTGGCAAAGATTTTATCACGTTGATGGTTCCTTGGATAATTATTGTGGAGATGGTTGCCCCCCCCCCCAAAAAAAAGATCAAAGGCTTGGTTTTACGGAGGCTCGAAGGTTTTATTTGAGACGTATGACAACCACACTATCAAGAGGGGCCAAGGTGGTAGAAAGACGGTGTGGGAACACCTAAAACTCATATACCAGTCTTACTACGCCTACCACCGAGAAATTACCTTGCATCCATCACATTTCATGTTCTCCGTGTGTGTCTAAGAGCATCTCTAGCCGTTCGGGCCCCCAGGACGCTGAAAAAGAGCCGCCTGGGGGCGAACCGGCGTTTGCTTGTCGCGTGGGGCGATTGCGTTCCCAGTCGTCGCCCCCGGGTCGCTGCCAAAATCGCGCAAACTCGGCGATCTTTCATACAAATTTGTACAAACTCGGTGATCTGGCACAAACTCGGCGATATTTCATAGAAATTTGTACAAAAACAGATGAACATGCAAACTACGCCTAGCCCTGCTACGCCGCGACCGCCACCCGCCTTCTACATGTCGAGGAACCTATAGAATTGGGTGTAGTCGTCGTCGTTGTCGTGCGCCCCGCCGGAGCCGCCATCCCTACTGCACCCCTGGCCAGGACCGCCAACGCGCGGGGCTGGGTTGGACGCCCCGGCCTCGTGAGGCATCAATGGAGGCTGACCGATGTGGGTGCCTTGGCATTGATTCCCGCGGGAACCGAGGCGATAAGGACGACGAAGCGGCGTCTCGCCGACTCGGCGGGCCCATCCCCGTTAGCGCCAAAATCACTTTCCCCGGCGCCCCCCAGCGTGCCGGGTTCCGCCTGGGTCCGTCGGCGCCAGTTTCGACCCAAACCGGCGAAAAATGGGTTCCTGGGGGCGCGACTGGGCCATTTTTTGGGCGTCGGCGGCAAAAAAAACGTCTGGGGGCCTGTTGGGGACGCGGCTGGAGATGCTCTAAGGGGTGTGTGCCCAAAATTTGTTGGTCACCCCGTGCACACGGGATACCACGCAACCCTTTGGGTACACCATGTGCACGGGGTCCTAGACACTTGTGCCCACGGGGTGGTGTTTTAGTCTTTGGACACTGATGTCTACTATGTAACTTTTTTCTTGTAGACTATGTTGGGCCTTCAAGCGCAGAGTTTTGTAGAATAGCATCAAATTTTCCCTTCGGCCGGAAAGCTGGATTTAACCCCGGTAGGTACCTCTGCGTCGCGCTCCCCGTTCCCCTCCGTGTCGCCCCCTCACGTCCCCATACGCGCGTCGAGTCTAGGAGCTCGTCCATGGAGTGCTCCTTGTAGCTATGGTTGGTATGGAGGAAATAGTAATGGTGTTGCTTGATCTGATTCATGCCTACATATATCATGCTCAATTCTTACCATGATCATCCCTCCTTATTTTTGTTGATTATCTCTGTTTATTTCTGTAAATCTCATGATTTATGTCTGTATATAACAAGTGATTCTTAAGTAAATATACATACCACTGTAGCTACTGTGGTGACACATTCATGTTTAGAAAATCCAAAATGAAACAGTTTAATAGTCCACACGAATTAGGAGGGGGGAAATGTCGTCGTTCCAATTAGGCGTTGGCTACGTTTGTAGTATCATTTTACTGTTGTTGTAGCAGAAGTGTCTATCCATCTACTGTTTAGGCAAGTGTTTTTATCATCGAGGTGACCGTAATACAGGGCTAGGCAGACACGATTATCAGCAATTTTGCACTGCAATATAGCTCAAGACACACTTGGTTTTCAACACTTCTCTAGTGTGATATTGCTGCTCAGGACCCTAAGGGGTTCTCTTGTACAATTCTCACCATCTGTACCATATCTAATATTATCACATGTTGAAACTTTTGTGAATTGCCATGTCATATTATGTGTAGTTTTGGGATAGGAGTACCAAATTGAATCTGTGTACCTAAGACATGATCACTTCAGAAGTACCAGCACCCTGTTAACTGTGGCAAAAGAAATTGAACATGTTTTTTATGATAATTGTGCTAAAATATCACATTCCATGATCTCTTTTTAGTATGGGTGGCAAGATATGCATAGACATTTTAGAAACAATGATGATTTTTTTATGTGCAAAAGTACCATGCAGTCAGCATCATGGTACTTACTAGTAGTAAGATAAATAGCTCCCCCCAGCTCCATCCTAATAAACAAATAGTATTGTTGCCCATCCGTTTCAGCTTTCATGTGCAAAATTTACTAGTACCAATGTAGTACTAGAAATGTTTGCACATCTAGCTTTAGATGAACATGCTTGTGAGCCCAAATTGGTGGGATAAATTGCGAGGCAAAATGTATCTTCATGTACATGTGCTTTCCTCGTTATTGTTTCAACTATAAACAAGCATGTTCATCTCTTTTTGTTTCATGTTCTTAGACACCCAAAGAAAAGCAAGACTAAACAAGCTGGATGGATACACTTTGACCACTCAAAAGTCGGATGATCATTGAGCTATCACTACAAAAAAAAGACACATCTGTGACATTTTGGGCCGAACGAAAAAAAAATTATGTCATACATATGACACTTCTATGACGATAATTGTGACAAAACCCGGTATCATCATAGATGTGGTGGGCTCCTACTTCTATGACAAAAAATCATGACAGAAAATGGGCTTTTCATCCTGGGCGGGCCGGAGACGCAGCTCCATGACATTCTTTGGGCCGTCCATGAC